ATTGTTTCCTTTCAGTCAAGTAGCTGCCTAGCCAGTCATGGGCTTTCTATAGTACCAGATGCTAGTCTTAAATCAATAATCAATGATTCCTTCTACTGCTGCAGTAATTTCTTAGTTAACTTTCTTGTATTGTTTTAACTAGTTTTCCCCGCGCCTTAACTATTCCTCTGCTTGTTGCTGCTTCGGTCAGCCGTCCGACGGTTGGATAAAAGCTGCTGCTTCACATTAACACCTCAGATCAGGGTAGGAGCATTCCTTGAGTGTTTGATGCCTGCCTGCTCGTAAATTTGGCACTTCCTCTTTACATTCGGGCTGACGTTCTTCTATCAACAGAAGCTTCTAGCAGAGGTTGTCTTCTGAGATGCACGGATGAGTTGATGTCCTTTGTCATCTCATCTCGGGTGTCTTTGGACCTGTCTGGCATCGCCGTCAGACAGATGCACTCGTCTTGCTGTGAGAGAAGCAGGCAGCGGACAGCGTTGTTGTTACTGAAGGAAACCTGCTGCTCTTAAGTATGCCAGCAGTTCTGCCAGAGACCAGGAACGACAACTGGTGCGACGAGCTGCCTGCTGCTCAGCTCGTCCCTGCTCCGTGAGAGGCTTCTCTCCGGTCTCTGTTGGACTTTTATTGGCATTCCTGTTTTACAGGGAACACGTACTCCGGATTTGTAAATGTCAGCCTTGTTGATGTCAGAGATGAAGTTTACACAAGCGTCTGTTGCGTAATCAGCGACGGAGTAAGCTGAAGCCCATTCTGTGCTTGAGGCTCGCGGTCGCATCATGAAGCTGGAACAACACAAGAGGAAGCTCTTCTGTTCGTTTTGCTTTACGTTTGCCGTTCAGACCGGTTTAACCCAGAACTTAAGGCGTCTCGGTGTGTGTCAGGAGCAAAGGAAAGCTCTCAGGCATTGCTCAGTCATGTTGTGGTTTCCAGAGTCCCGCTCCTCCTCTCCACCTGTGCCCGTTGTTCCTGGAATTCCAACCTTGAGTACCAGATGGTGTCCTAATATGGTCATGACTTGATTTTCTGCTTTCTTCACTGTAACTATTGCATTCACAGCTGAAGTCATGAGGCCAGGCCGGAACAATTAGACCCTCTAATCTTGGCTCCATTCACTGAAAATCCTCGACTCCAGGAACGGTTGTTGTGTTTTCCGGTCTCCATAGTAACAGCTCCATCCCTGGCCCATCACATGGCCCACTGACAGTACACACGAGTGTTTTGAGTCGTCCACCGCCTTCGGTCCCTGATGTGATTACTGGAGTGCTGCTCCACCTCTAACTCTGGCTGCAGGACGACGTTCCTGAAGAAGGTCTGGATGTTTACGGTACTCTGGATGAGCAGAAACGGCATGAAGCTACTTTCATTCTGATGCCATAAAAACTAAATGAGACTCCTAGTTGAGAGCTTGGTGGAGTATTGATCCGTAGCAGGTCGGGTCATTTTCAGATGGATCTAGAAAGAAAACATCTTTGTTTTTAATCGAACATAAAAAGCTTTTGGTAGAAGTTATTTGTGGAAATGTGAACAGAAGCCTGCCCTACATTTCTGAGAATCCAATTGCTTAAGGTCACCCGTGTGTTGTGCCTCCAGAGCAGACATGAGGTGTCCTCCACTAAAACCCAGATACCACCAGGAGGCGTTCATGGATTCATAATGGGGGGGGGGGGGGGGGGGGGGGGTTCTGTTCTTGTTTGGGGAACTTTAAAGGTGCAATATGAAAGAATGATACACTGTGGTCAGATTTGGGTACTGCAGTCCCTCTCACCACAGTTCTGAGTGTCATGGCTGTTGCCAGGTACAGATCAGCACTGCAAGACTCTACAGGGAGTGCAGAATTATTAGGCAAATGAGTATTTTGTCCACATCATCCTCGCCATGCATGTTGTCTTACTCCAAGCTGTGTAGGCTCTAGTGTTGTCAAAAAATCGATACCTAGATATAAATCGATACTGAAAGTGGTATCTAAATGAGATATTCCATCCCTGTGGTATTGATATTATGGACTATTATACACAGCCTTCTTCAAGTACACCGACACGCACGACAGCCAGATGCCGTAAAGCAGCCTCCGCCTCCCAGACAAACAGAAGAAGAAGACGCCGCATGGCTACATTGCAATTTCCCACGCGAGTTGTCTCCGATCCAAGTTTTGTCTGCCAAATAAATAAACAAAAACATAAATAGCAAATTTGGGAGGCGCTTCACAGCCCAACTTAATTAGCATACCAAGTCCGACACGTAGTTGTAAATTCACGCTTATGTGCTTAAAGGAAACTCCCGTTTATTGCAACCCGGACTTAATTTCTAGCATGCAGTACGTTTGTTTACTCACGCTGACAACTTTGGTGCTACTTGGATTCCCCGGCTATTTAGATCCATCGGCGAATCACCGTCAGCGTATATCCATATAACGGGTTCGGACGGGCACCCATGGTGCAGCCTCGAAATAAGACATTATCTGCACCAAAACATCTTCATGTCGAAAGGTTTTGTTAGGAATCATTAACGTGATTCCCCTGTTTGTTTGGAGCGGGTCTGGTCTGGGATTCCTAGGCGTAAACAGACTAGCCGCGGCTAATCTAACCGGCGCTTTTAATGACGTCACTGCCGTGCGCCAGTCTGTTTTTATTAAGATTACCGGTAGATGTACCTTTGTCCTACTGTGGAGAAATTCGTTTTCTCCCTTTATTGACCAACAGAGTTGTTCAAAAGTACAGAACAAAACATATGGCGTTACATCTTATGACAAAAATGCACCTTAAACAGAGTTTAAGCAGCAAAACATCACTCTGCAAATAGTGTATATATAGTGAGACAATTCATGATTTAAAGTGTTAACTTTCACCAGTTTTTGTATGCACGTTTTAAAAAATGCTGATACTTGAAAGGTTTAAGCACTTTATACACTTAATTCTTAACATTTAATTTTTGCAATATAAATTGAGGAATGTTATTTTTGAATAAACTTGTTCAATAAACTGGTGTTTTTAAATAGTGTCGAATCGAGTTTGAAATTTTAGTATCGTGACAACCCTAGTAGGCTCGAAAGCCTACTACCTATTAAGCATATTAGGTGATGTGCATCTCTGTAATGAGAAGGGGTGTGGTCTAATGACATCAACACCCTATATCAGGTGTGCATAATTATTAGGCAACTTCCTTTCCTTTGGCAAAATGGGTCAAAAGAAGGACTTGACAGGCTCAGAAAGGTCAAAAACAGTGAGATATCTTGCAGAGGGATGCAGCAGTCTTAAAACTGCAAAGCTTCTGAAGCGTGATCATCGAACAATCAAGCGTTTCATTCAAAATAGTCAACAGGGTCGCAAGAAGCGTGTGGACAAACCAAGGCGCAAAATAACTGCCCATCAACTGAGAAAAGTCAAGCGTGCAGCTGCCAAGATGCCACCTGCCACCAGTTTGGCCGTATTTCAGAGCTGCAACATGACTGGAGTGCCCAAAAGCACAAGGTGTGCAATACTCAGAGACATGGCCAAGGTAAGAAAGGCTGAAAGACGACCACCACTGAACAAGACACACAAGCTGAAACGTCAAGACTGGGCCAAGAAATATCTCCAGACTGATTTTTCTAAGGTTTTATGGACTGATGACATGAGAGTGAGTCTTGATGGGCCAGATGGATGGGCCCGTGGCTGGACTGGTAAAGGGCAGAGAGCTCCAGTCCCACTCAGACGCCAGCAAGGTGGAGGTGGAGTACTGGTTTGGGCTGGTATCATCAAAGATGAGCTTGTGGGGCCTTTTCGGGTTGAGGATGGAGTCAAGCTCAACTCCCAGTCCTACTGCCAGTTTCTGGAAGACACCTTCTTCAAGCAGTGGTACAGGAAGAAGTCTGCATCCTTCAAGAAAAACATGATGTTCATGCAGGACAACGCTCCATCACACGCGTCCAAGTACTCCACAGCGTGGCTGGCAAGAAAGGGTATAAAAGAAGAGAAACTAATGACATGGCCTCCTTGTTCACCTGATCTGAACCCCATTGAGAACCTGTGGTCCATCATCACATGTGAGATTTACAAGGAGGGAAAACGGTACACCTCTCTGAACCGTGTCTGGGAGGCTGTGGTTGCTGCTGCACGCAATGTTGATGGTGAACAGATCAAAACACTGACAGAGTCCATGGATGGCAGGCTTTTGAGTGTCCTTGCAAGGAAAGGTGGCTATATTGGTCGCTGATTTTTTTTTGAATGTCAGAAATGTAGATTTGGGAATGTGGAGATGTTATACTGGTTTCACTGGTAAAAATAAATAATTGAAATGGGTATATATATGTTTTTTTGTTAAGTTGCCTAATAATTATGCACAGTAATAGTTACCTGCACACACAGACATCCCCCTAAAATAGCTAAAACTACAAACTACTTCCAAAAACATTCAGCTTTGATATTAATGAGTTGTTTGGGTTCATTGAGAACATGGTTGTTGTTCAATAATAAAATTATTACTCAAAAATACAACTTGCCTAATAACTGCACTCCCTGTAGATGACAAGTGAAGGCGCGTCATCCAAGGTGATTGCTGTGAGGGATGTGGCGTCATGGCCGCTAGGGTGACGCTGCAGCATGTTGCTGGCCTATTTGATGGATCAGAGGGGAGTGTGGGCAGGGACCGGGTATGAGGACCATTCCTCTCTGTGCATCCCACTGAAACAGCTGAGCTCTCTCGTCCTGTGCTGGTGGCGTTGATCTCACTGGTGCTAATGGTGCATTTCCACGGCTCCATTGTTGTTGTGGGGAGGGTGGAGAGTAGAACAGCTCGTTGGTGTTTGTGGGTTAAGGGTTGGACCTAAGCAGGGTGAGACCTGAGTGTCTCTGGTATTAGACGCTCTGTGGCCCTCTAGTGGAGAAGGACTTGAACTGCATGATGTTGTGTTGACCCGGCCTTTAAACGTGCCTTGCCTCAGGTTTACACTGACCGCCGGTTGTCCACGTAGCAACCATAACGAACCCTGAACTAACCCGTTTCTCTCTCTGTCTCTGTAGTGCCTCTGGAACCAACATCGTTGCCATCGATAACAAAATCGAACAGGCGATGGTGAGTAATCCGTGAGGTTGGGGTTAGCTAAGCACCTGGTTACGTTTCTAATGTTAAACATTTCCACCTCCTCAGATGTTCCTGCTTTTGCTTTGTTGTCTCGTGTAAAAGTTTTAGATCAGACAAAACGAAATGTTTTCCTTCACCGTTAAGAGCCAGATCTGTCCCTTGTCCCTGTGCACTGACACCTGTCCCGTGTTCTTCAGGACCTGGTGAAAAGCCATCTGATGTACGCGGTGAGGGAGGAGGTGGAGGTCTTAAAGGAGCAGATCAAGGAGCTGTTTGAGAGGAACTCTGTGCTGGAGAGGGAGAACGCTGTGCTGAAGTCTCTGGCTAACAGCGAGCAGCTGTCCCAGCTGTCCACCCAGCCCACCACTGCAGCCGCGCCCTCCGCAGCTACCCCCCCGCAGCAAGGACTCAGCCACCCTCAGCTTCAGCAGCAACCCCCCAAACCCCAGCCGCTCCAGACTGAGCTTGACACCGGCCAACAACCCGACGTCTCTTCGGCTTAAACGCTTCTGCTGTGGGACGAACCGCCTGGCTGTCCACCTTCTGATTCGTGTTTGTGAAATAAACGTCGTCCTTAGCCACCAGCTTGACCACAGGTGTGTGTGTACTGTGGGCCTTTCCTGTGTTAATGCAATCACCAGGAAGTGAGTAGTGTGTGTGTGTGTGTGGGGGGGGGGGGGGGGGGGGGCTCTGAACGAATCGTGTTTGTTCTTGTCCTGGTTTGACCTCGAGGAGATGGCACGACCAGAACAGAGCCGAACCAAACCTCACAGTCTGACCTGCTGACGTCGGGGCGGGGCGGGGGGGGGGATGATCCTTTAGCCGACAGAGGGAGAGGTGGGGGTCTTGGCGGGTTAGGGTTCCGACGCTCCACAAGGCTGACGCGACCTTTAAACCAGCTCTCATCAGTCTGAGTCTTTTATTTATTTCTGGGCCGCCTGGTGTTCCCTTCTCCTGGTTTTACAGTGTTTTAACAGATGGGCCACACTTCCCAGGAGTCGCTGTGTGGAACACGTGAAATCCTGACAAATGTCTAACACTAACGCTGATATTCCGCTGCGGTTGCCAATCCCCGACTCGAGCCTGATCCGGTCTAAATGTCTGTAGAGGTAAAGTATTAGGAGCTGTGATGGGCGACGGCACCTGTTCGTGTCAGCCAGCAAAGGGGCGAGATCAGGTAGTATTACCATAACACCCCCGCCCATTTGAATTTTATTTCTCCATTGGTTTTTCCTTGGGGGGGGGGGGGGGGGTAAATGGTGGAAGGTGAAGCTGTGAAATCTAACATGACTTCAAACGTACGTCAACCAAAGATGCAAAGCTGTGTGAGTCGGTTTATTTTGAGATGCACACGTGTATTTTGTTGTTACTTCCTCCTCCATGAGATACTTTGCTGTTCGGCATGTTCTGCATGATCTGTAATCTTCAAACCACTTTCTTACCTCATTTTTATTCAGCACTCTTCTCGTTAGACAGTCTGTGAACAGTGTACAGTGGGCTGGGGTGGGGTGGGCGGTGTTGAGATAAACCTGGTGTTACCCACGCTAGTCGCAGAAAGTGAAGTGAGCCATGTTTGTTCATTAAATGGTGTTTGAATTTCATATGCCAATAGTTTTGTTACTTTGCAAATTTTAATGTATTTAAATAAAAGCAATATTCAGATTCAGACATGTGGCAGTGGTGTGTGTGTGCGCGTGTGTGTGCATGCATGGGTGCCTGTGTGTGTGTGTGTCTGTGTTTATGCATGCGTGCATGGGTGTGTGTGTATGTATGGGTGCCTGTGTGTGTGTGTGTGTGTGTGTGTGTCTGTATGCGTGCGTGCATGCATGGGTGCCTGTGTTTGCGTGCGTGTGCATGCATGGGTGTGTGTGTTTATGCATGGGTGCCTGTGTGTGTGCGTGTCTGTGTTTACGGGTGTGTGCATGCATGGGTGTATGTGTGCATGCATGGGTCTGTGTGTGTGTTTATGCATGGGTGCCTGTGTGTGTGCGTGTCTGTGTTTACGGGTGTGTGCATGCATGGGTGCCTGTGTGTGTCTGTGTTTATGCATGTGTGTGTGCATGCATGGGTGCCTGTGTTTATGCATGGGTGCCTGTCTGTGTTTATGCATGTGTGTGTGCATGCATGGGTGCCTGTGTTTATGCATGGGTGCCTGTCTGTGTTTATGCGTGTGTGCATGCATGGGTGCCTGTGTGTGTGTCTGTGTTTATGCATGTGTGTGTGTGTGTGTGCATGCATGGGTGCCTGTGTGTGCGTGTCTGTTTATGTGTGCGCATGCATGGGTGCCTGTGTGTGTGCGTGCCTGTGTTTATGCATGGGTGCCTGTCTGTGTTTATGCGTGTGTGCATGCATGGGTGCCTGTGTGTGTGTCTGTGTTTATGCATGTGTGTGTGCATGCATGGGTGCCTGTGTGTGTGCGTGCCTGTGTTTATGCATGGGTGCCTGTCTGTGTTTATGCGTGTGTGCATGCATGGGTGCCTGTGTGTGTGTCTGTGTTTATGCATGCGTGTGTGTGTGCATGCATGGGTGCCTGTGTGTGCGTGTCTGTTTATGTGTGCGCATGCATGGGTGCCTGTGTGTGTCTGTGTTTATGCATGCGTGTTTGTGCATGCATGGGTGCCTGTGTGTGTCTGTGTTTTTGCGTGTGTGCATGCATGGGTGTTTGTGTGCATGCATGGGTGCCTGTGTGTGTCTGTGTTTATGCATGTGTGTGTGCATGCATGTATGTGTGCATGCATGGGTGCCTGTGTGTGCGTGTCTGTGTTTATGCATGCGTGCCTATGCGTGTGTGCATGCATGGGTGCCTGTGTGCGTGTCTGTGTTTATGCATGCATGTGCGCATGCATGGGTGCCTGTGTGTGCGTGTCTGTTTATGTGTGCGTGCGCACGCATGGGTGCCTGTGTGTGTGTATGTGTGCATGCTGTGTGTGTCTGTGTTTATGCATGCGTGCGTGCATGCATGGGTGCCTGTGTGTGTATGTGTGTATGCATGTGTGTCTGTGTTTATGCGTGCATGTGTGCATGCATGCGTGTGTGTGTATGTGTGCATGCATGGGTGCCTGTGTGTGTGTATGTGTGCATGCTGTGTGTGTCTGTGTTTATGCATGCGTGCGTGCATGCATGGGTGCCTGTGTGTGTATGTGTGTATGCATGTGTGTCTGTGTTTATGCGTGCATGCATGCACACATACGCACACATGGGTGTGCGTATGTGTGCATGCATGCGTGTGTGTGTATGTGTGCATGCATGGGTGCCTGTGTGTGTGTGTTTATGCGTGCGTGCGTGTGTGTGTGCGCTCTACAAGATCAAATGTAGCTGTTGCTGCTCATGGAGCCTGTAGGGCTCTGAATCCAGACCGGGGTGTGAAGCTGCAGCTACAAACACGTGAGATTCCTCCCATAGACGCAACATGGTTACAAAGTTAGAGAAACTCATTTATTTGAAGAAATTACAAAACGAGTCATCTGAAAAATGCGCTGCACACACACACACACACGTGCTATTGTAGCAAACACAGTCGTCTGGAAGGAAAGTGTTCACGGTTTTAACAGTTTCAAGTCCCAAACTTAAAACACGAGATCCCAGTACTGGATATCCACGACACGACAGTCTGAACACAACAAACGGTAGGACTCGTCTGGTGAGACGGCGGCGCTGGGTGGCTCCGCCCCACCCGCTAGCCCACGGTAACAAATCTGCTGCCTTTGCCGCTCTGCGCCGCCGCAGTGCGCTGACCTTTCAGGATCCGGAAACGCTCGTTCAGGGTCATGGACGTTTGCTGAGGAGGGAAGTCAGAGGCCACATGTTAACCGTGCAGATCCACCACCAGCAGCAGCAGCTGGAAGGTGCCGCTCTCACCGGTTTGCCGACACTGTTGATGTCAAACTGAAGAGGAACTCCTTTTGGGATCTTCTTCTCCACCGTTTCCTCTTTCACAGGAGCTGGGTTGACGGGTGGGGGGTACAGAGTCCACGCAGTGGGAGGCCTGTAAACACGATCCACACACAAGCTGAAACCCACCCTACCCACCAGAACCTTCTACGTGCTGCGTGTGCTGGACCGGGCCGACGCTCACTCCGGCTGAGTCCTGGCTGACGGGTTGTCGATAGAAACGGTCAGGATTCCATCGCTGGTTGTTGAAGTCCGCCACCTGGTGGACAAACAGACACACTTAGACCTTCCTGATGGAGGCAGGTATGAGGTCACCTGAAACGGAAGCCCTGCTGTGCTCACTGTCTCGCTTGTGTCGGGGGGGCGTGGGGGTTTGGCCTCCGGACCTGAGCTTGAACCTGAGGAGGAGAGTGACGCGTGTCAGCTGATGGATGGAGGATGCAACAGCTGAGCTGGCAGCAAGTACCTTGAGGCCTCTGTTAAACAGAAACATGGCCTGGCGGGCCTCCCTCTGCGTCTGCTGGACAGGGGGCGGCGGCCTGAGAAAGCAGAAATCCAAACCAGCCCTGTTGTAGAATAAAATAAAGCCGATCGGACGTCACAAAGTAAACTAGTGGGACTCGCTCACCGTCCGCGCAGCTGGAAGGGTCTCCTGGTGGATGTGGAGTTCTGGCCTCTGAGTGGATCGGGCTGCCGGTACAGCCGTCTCTGAGCCTCCGAGCGCCTCGGTCTCAGCTTCTGTAACAACAGATCTTCGTCATTAGGTCGAGTCATCACATGATAAAAAGCGTGGCTGGATTCTGACAGCACAGAAGATGTCTGATGATCGGAGGCGAGGCAGATCCGGGCCTCCTCCCTCAGAAGATGCTCTCGTTAGAGGTCAGACCCAACTCGAGCAGCTGAATGGACATCCCTGAGGGTGGGACGCTCCACCTCTCGGAGGGAGTTCCTTTCCGCTGCTTCCAGTGAATTTCCAGGACTTGAACGAGGTCAGAGTGCAGACCGACTGGAGAAACAACATCTTGGTTCTCTAGATCAGCTTCCTCATAGCTGAAGTATGATTAGTTCACTTGTCGATTCCTACCCGAGGTTCCAGGATGAAATCAAGGTTCTTGTCCCAGCGAACTGATTCCCACATTACCGACGTGGACTTGGGCTGGAGGGTGGATCGGCTACAAGGTGAGAGACAACAACCTAGCAGGTTAGATGGTGATGAAGGGACAACGGTCAGACAGCCGTTACCTGGCTGCCTGCTGATCTGTTCAGGGTCCCGGTCCGCTTCAGCAGGGCAGCTGGCCTCCTGGCCGCCAGCCCCGTGATTAACCCTTGACCCCGCCATCGCCCCGGCAGGGAAGCAACCCCTCTGCTTCTGAACTTAGGGGCTCCTCCTCCTCCTGGTGAGAGGATGTTTGTGACGTCACACGAATGCTGCGTAGGCCGGAGTCTACCTGTCACGGCGGGACTCACCTGCTCTTCCTTGGCCCTTTTTCTTGAACGGTCGGCGGTTCGTGTTGGCTTGTCTCCTTTTGAACTGTCTCTCTTTTTTGTTCAAGCGGATGATGTCATCTGTCAAAGTTAGCACAGCAGCAGCGGGTCAGTCCGCCTGCTACAACAGCGCAGCTAACGGCGCGAGACCCGCCATTAAACACAAACCCTTACCCAGCGACATGTCCACTTTATCGGGAGGCGCTGCCATGGTCGTCCGGCCTTCTGGGAAACCACCTTGGTTTATGAGCAGGTGTAACTAAGAAGTCGGCTAACGCTACAACAGCTGAAACGCCTCCGGAGCTGCTGCTTCTTCCCTTGGACGGGAGACAAACAACGCATGCAGCGTTAGCGCCCCCTGCTGGCCTGGAGGGTGGATCACAACCCATCCTCTCCTGCGGTACTGATCACAATCAGAAAAAGGTTTATTGCCATTGTCAGTGAACAAGCAGTTCACAAACTAGGAACTTGTTTCGGTACTAATGTGCTACATATAACATGAATAATAAATTTCAGAAATAGAATAAAGTAGAATAAAATATAATAAAACTAGCATAAAACTTTCAACTATAAAAAAAGGCAGGTAATGGTAATAATGGTAACATGGCCGGTAACGTGACGTTATGTCGAGTACAGAAGACCAGCATGGTTGTGTGTTTATAAGCTGTTCACAAGTCTAACGGCAGATGGAAAGAAGCTGTTCTTATGGCGGGAGGTTCTGGTCCGGATGGACCGTAACCTCCTGCCTGAGGGGAGCGGCTCGAAAAGTCTGTGACCCGGGTGAGAAGGGTCAGCTGCTATCCGACCTGCACGCCCCCGAGTTCTGGAGACGTACAGGTCCTGGAGAGATGGAAGGCTGCAGCCAATCACCTTCTCAGCGGAGCGCACAATGCGCTGCAGTCTATGTTTGTCCCTCACTGTGGCTCCAGCGTACCACACAGCGATGGAGGAGGTGAGGATGGACTCAATGATGGCCGTGTAAAACTGCACCATCATCTGGGCCGGCAGCTTGGCCTTTTTCAACTGCCGCAGAAGTACATCCTCTGCTGGGCCTTTTTGATCAGGGAGCTGATGGATGGCTCCCACCTAAGGTCATGTGTGATGGTGGTTCCGAGGAAGCGGAAGGAGTCCACAGTGGTGACGGGGGTGTCCGTCAGGACGAGTGGGAGAGATGGGGCTGTGACTTTCCTGAAGTCCACAATCGTCTCCACTGTCTTCTGAGCATTGAGCTCCAGGTTGTTGCTGCTGCACCAGCACACCAGCCGATCCACCTCCCTCCTGTAGGCAGACTCGTCACCGTCAGAGATGAGCCCGATGAGGGTGGTGTCGTCCGCAAACTTGATCAGTTTAACGGAGTCATGGCTCGAGCTGCAGCAGTTTGTGTACAGGGAGAAGAGCAGAGGAGAAAGTACACAGCCCTGTGGAGATCCTGTGCTAATTGTCTGAATGGTGGAAACATTCTTCCCCAGCCGCACGCACTGCCTTCGGTCCGTCAGGAAGTCAGTGATCCACCTGCAGGTGGAGTTGGGTACGTTGAGCATGGAGAGCTTGTCCTGGAGCAGAGCAGGGAGGATGGTGTTGAACGCAGAGCTGAAGTCCACAAACAGGATCCTAGCGTAGGTGCCCGGGGAGTCCAGGTGCTGCAGGATGAAGTGGAGGGCCAGGTTGATGGCGTCGTCTACAGACCTATTGGCTCTGTATGCGAACTGCAGAGGGTCCAGGAGGGGGGAGAAGAAGGACTTGAGATGATGAGATGAGATGGAAGACCAAAGACCCGCACGTGAAAAAAATGAAAGCCAGAGGATCCCAAAGCGCTTCACACTACAATTCATCCATTAACACACGGCTGGGGATGAGCTACAAAGTAGCCACATGTAGCTGGTAGTGGTCTGTCAGTGTACCCCATGGACGTAATTTTCACTTTAGAAGTGCAGGGGACACGGAGGGGTGTGTGTGTGTGTGTGTGTGTGGGGGGGGGGGTTATCTTTACAGTATGTTCGAATGGGAAACAGGCTTCAACACAAACGGTTGTTTTCCGCTTGGTCCTAGAGCTGTTTTTGGATGGTGAAAAGTGCCGGGGTCATAACTTGACTTTGGAAAAAGTGGGGGACCCCCCCCCCCCCATTGCCAGATTTACTCTCCATTGTGTCAGGAGGAAGGTCTCTATCCAGTCCTTTGTGTCCTGTCTTTGCCCATCAGCAAGTATGCGTGAAAGCAATTAACAAAAAGTGATTTGTATATATATATAAATTGCTTCTTGTTAATTGCTTTCACGCATACTTGCTGATGGGCAAATATCGTCTACTTGGCGGCATAACAGAAAACGCCTTAAAAACATTGACATTAATGTAGATTTTGTATTAAAACGTGAACTGAAATAAGTCTTAACTCTAAACACCTAACTCATCACTGGTAACTGGCGCCCTCTGGTGGCGATTAGGTAGTTTTACACAAGATCAACATCCAGTAGGATTATTTTCTTAATGTTTATGTTAAAAATCTCTAAGTAAACAAGTCCTAACTCGGATCTAAACAACTAACCAAACTGAAGCAATAACAACTGTTTCTACATGAAAGAACTACAGATTCCGTTCCTCACTGCGCATGCTCATTACAGATTTGCAGAAAAGGATTGTGGGAAATGTAGGTTAAAAACAATGTTACAAAACCTAAACACCAAAGTTCTCAAGTAACAAGTCCTGCGGTTATGTGTGCCTCCCTTCTGAATGCATTTAAAACTGCAGCTGAACCGGAAGCGTTTAGCTTGTTTCCGAACCAGGTACGCAGTGTAAACCATCATATATATGCGTGTCGACGGTGTAAACGCGGGTTTAGCGCGGGTCGGTGACGTTTGATTCATCGTTGCGGGTTCTGCTCGTGTTTCGTTTCCCTGTAGCTTCCTGTTTACCTTCCTCGCCGCTCGCAGCTCCTTTGAGGCCACCATGTCAGACAGAAAACGCAGGGCAGCGTCGTCCTCCAGCGGGAAGCGGCCGAAGCTGCCCTCCGCCCCGGACCGAGAGGAGGGGAAGGAGCCGGCGGGCTGGCTGCTGAGGGCCGTCCAGCAGCAGAGGGAGGACGCCAAGGACCAGAGCTTCAACCGCAAAAGGCTGCGTTTCATTTCTGAAACCGAGAAGGTCACGCAGGGCTCTGAGGGCATACTTTACTGGATGTTAAGAGACCAGAGGGTGCAGGGTAAGATGCACCACAGCATCCTTTACGTCTAATATACAGGTCCTTCTCCAAAAATGAGCATATGGTGATAAAGTTCATTATTATCTGTAATGTACTGATAAACATTAGACTTTCATATATATTAGATTCATTACACACATCTGAAGTAGTTCAAGCCTTTTATTGTTTCTAACATTTATGATTGTGGCGTACAGCTCATGAAAACCCAAAATCCCTATCTCAAATAATTAGCATATTTCATCCGACCAATAAAATAAAAGTGTTTTTAATACAAAAACAGTCAACCTTCAAATAATTATGTTCAGTTATGCACTCAGTACTTGGTCGGGAATCCTTCTGCAGAAATGACTGCTTCAATGTGGCGTGGCATGGAGGCAACCAGCCTGTGGCACTGCTGAGGTGTTCTGGAGGGCCAGGATGCTTCGATAGCGGCCTTAAGCTCATCCAGAGTGTTGGGTCTTGCGTCTCTCAACGTTCTCTTCACAATATCCCACAGGTTCTCTACGGGGTTCAGGTCAGGAGAGTTGGCAGGCCAGTTGAGCACAGTAATACCATGGTCAGAAAACCATTTACCAGTGGTGTTGGCACTGTGAGCAGGTGCCAGGTCGTGCTGAAAAATGAAATCTTCATCTCCATAAAGCTTTTCAGCAGATGGAAGCATGAAGTGCTCCAAAATCTCCTGATAGCTAGCTGCATTGACCCTGCCCTTGATAAAACACAGTGGACCAACACCAGCAGCTGACACGGCACCCAGACCATCACTGACTGTGGGTACTTGACACTGGACTTCAGGCATGTTGGCATGTCCCTCTGCCCAGTCTTCCTCCAGACTCTGGCACCTTGATTTCTGAATGACGTGCAAAATTTGCTTTCCTCCGAAAAATGTACTTTGGACCACTGAGCAACAGCCCAGTGCTGCTTCTCTGTAGCCCAGGTCAGGCGCTTCTGCCGCTGTTTCTGGTTCAAAAGTGGCTTGACCTGGGGAATGCGGCACCTGTAGCCCATTTCCTGCACACGCCTGTACACGCTGGCTCTGGATGTTTCTACTCCAGACTCAGTCCACTGCTTCCGCAGGTCCCCCAAGGTCTGGAATCGGTCCTTCTCCACAATCTTCCTCAGGGTCCGGTCACCTCTTCTCGATGTGCAGCGTCTTCTGCCACACTTTTTCCTTCCCACAGACTTCCCACTGAGGTGCCTTGATACAGCACTCTGGGAACAGCCTATTCATTCAGAAATGTCTTTCTGTGTCTTAGCCTCTTTCTTGAGGGTGTCAATGATGGCCTTCTGGACAGCAGTCAGGTTGGCAGTCTAACCCATGATTGCGGTTTTGAGTAATGAACCAGGCTGGGAGTTTTTAAAAGCCTCGTGAATCCTTTGCAGGTGTTTAGAGTTAATTAGTTGATTCAGATGATTAGGTTAATAGCTCGTTTAGAGAACCTTTTCATGATATGCTAATTTTTTGAGATAGGAATTTTGTAGTGATGGGAATTCCGGTTATTTTTAGAGAGCCGGTTCTTTTGGCGCAGCTCACCAAAAAGAGCCGGCTCTTTCGGCTCCCAAGTGGCTCCTCAGATTTTCTGTTGCGTAGAGTACATTTATAACCAAAATAATGCTAAACTATATGTAAAATGATTTACTAATATAAAAAATGCAATATATCAAATATTTATCATTTCTATGGATTTAATAACTGAACAATTTAAGAAATCTCCACTTTCCGACTGCTGGCGTTCATTTTCTCACCGTCTTCGTCGCACTCTCCTCTCTCTCGCTCGCCTTTTCCCTCCTCCTCGTTCCCTCTCGTCTCGCTCTGCTGTGTGTCTGAGTCTGATCCTCCCTCTTCCCCGCCCCTACTGCTCTGTGTGTGGACAGTCTGGACACGCAGTTACACATGTTGACCAATCGCCTGTAGCTTTCACCAAAGCAAGAGGGGAGGGGAGGGGACGGCTCCCAATGACGAGCCGGCTCTCGTCGTTCACTTCAAAGAGCCGGCTCTTAGAGCCGGTTCGTTCACGACCGACACATCACTACAATTTTGTGTTTTCATGAGCTGTACGCCAAAATCATCAATATTAGAAACAATAAAAGGATTGAACTACTTCAGTTGTGTGTAATGAATCTAATATATATGAAAGTCTAATGTTTATCAGTACATTACAGAAAATAATGAACTTTATCACAATATGCTAATTTTTGAGAAGGACCTGTATGTAGTCATCGCTGTCCATGTTGTCTGCAGATAACTGGGCTCTGATCCATGCCCAGCAGCTGGCTGCGCAGGAGAACCTCCCTCTTCATGTCTGCTTCTGCCTGGTGGTCCCAAAGTCCCCGCTGTCCACTCTGAGACATTACAGCTTCCTGCTCAAGGGTCTAGAGGAAGTTGCAAAGGTATTTAAATTTAAAATGCCCTGTAAGCTGCTCTCATTTCACTTCATTTAGCTAAAAAAGCCTTCATCTGTTTATATTTTGCTTTGATGACCACCAAGAGGATTTTCCTTGCGTGAATGTCTTTTGGGCGCGAACAGGAGGGGTCAACGTTGGTGAGCTCATAACCATTAGGAAGAAGTTATCACACAGACACTAGGTATTTCCTTCATTTTTCAGCTTCATGTCAAATTTAGGATTTAGTTTTAAAACTCGCTGTTCTGGATTTTGTCTCTCCTGGTTTCACCTGAACAGGTGGACCGGTTTTCATTGATCTTTTTCAGTTAATGACTTCATGTTCAGGCTGGAGAGCATGGCGTGTCACACAAGCTACAGAATACATCATCACATGGCGGACCTGGTTCCTGCATTCAGAACAAGATCACAAATATGAAATTGCGCCGCTAAAGATGGGATCAGGTTCTATATTTGCCACCCCGCTTTTGGGACTCGCCAATTTCTGCAGTTAACAAAGGGCTAGGCAGGAAATCCCATTCGGTTTCAGTGTAAAACCTCTGGCAATTTTCAAAATGAGAGATTATTGCAGCAATGCCATTTTAGATTTATGTAGATTGTGTCAATACGTGTGACCTAACGGCTTACTTACTCCCAGTATCGTCCCAGAAGTGCAGCGGTGTGTTTTTCATGGCTCTAATGCTGTCAGTGGAGAGGAACAACATAGTTTATGACATCAGTGATATCAAACGGGATCTCCATTTTGGTCGAATGACGGATGACAAACGGACCTTTGAAGTCTCGAGTGATTTTGTGATCTTGTGATGTTGTTTCTGTGTACATTCGCGGGCCGTTTCGCTGCCGTGAGGGGGGGTTAACCTCAGCTCTACCAAGCACCCCGGCTAAAGAAACCAACACGCTGCCTAAACTTGCTCTGATTGGTTCATCGGTGTGTCTGTCCTGCCGAGAGAAGCAGACTAGCTAATAGCGTGACTCGGCTGAGAAAAAAACGTGGTCCCGTGGGCGCGTCCAGAAAAAATGGCACAGGGGATACGATCTCTCCGCTTTAATAGATCGTCATCACTTTATAATCCTTAACGATCTCATATCGATAGGTCGCACGGCCCTAATTTACCCTGAAGCTCCGGCAATAGAAACACACCTGTGGTCTCTCCTCTGGACATAAACCATCTCAGTCGGGCCTCTCTGACTTCATTTCCCTAACATCTAACATGAGCTGTCCCTCTGATGGACTCATCCCTGATCCACTTCATCCTCATGGCAGCAAACGAGAACCTAGCTCTTGAGCTCAGCAGCCTCCGGCTCTGGCTCCCGTCTTCTCGTCATGGACACCGTCTCAAAACCAGACAACATGGCTGCTCCCACTGCTGTCTTCTACATCTTCCCTTTCATTCCTGCAGAAGCCCTTTTATCACACTTCACACCGGACACTTTTCTCCACCCATCCCATCCTGCTTCCCACGCTTCACCTCAGTTCCACCCTCGCGGCAGCTTTGGACCGCAGACCCTACGTTCTTCACGTCCTCTAGTGTTTTTATTTCTACTCCCTGAACATCACCATTCCACTTGTGTCCCTCTCATTTACACACACGTCTTCTGCCTGGCTGTGACTAAATCTTCATTCGTCTCCCAACGGTCCAAATGTCCACCTCTCTAGCTTCTCCTCTACCTGCATCCTGCCTTCACTGTGGATCGCTGTGTCATCTGCAAACATCGTGTTCCGCGGAGAGTCCGGTTTAACGTCATCCGTCGGTCTGTTCGTCACCAAAGTAAACAAGAAGGTGCTTTGAGCCGGTCCTTGATGCAGTCCCACCTGCACTGTGAACTTCTCTGCCACTCCTGCAGCACACCTCAACGCTGTCTCTTGAACGTGACGAGGAAGTGGTCCGTTCGTGTTCTCTCACGTCTCCACGTGAGAGACTTCTTTCAAGCTCCCATAAGGATGCTAGCAAGAGTTCTCCCAAGAGAGCTGACCGGTGTTTAATCAGATGAACCTGTCTCGTGCGAAGCCACAGCCTGGGGAGCACGTTTATCCATCACCAGAAGACAAACTTAAAGGTTCCTGTCTCCATCCAACAGGAATGCAAACAGCTGAACATCCAGTTCCACCTGCTGCATGGCGCAGCAGGAGACCTGCTGCCGGCCTTCGTGTCTGATCGGGATTTTGGAGCAGTGGTGACGGACTTCTCCCCCCTCAGGGAACATCTGCAGTTGCTGAAAGACGTTCAGAAGAAACTTAAAAAAGACGTCCCCCTCATGCAGGTGTGGAGCTCCTTATTGGTGATGTCACTCCTACACCTTCGGTCACAGGCTGATGGCGTGAAATCGGGTTTTTTGTTTCTCTGGGTTTGAGGCATCCTTTGGATCTCGTTTCCCACACAGGTTGATGCTCATAACGTTGTTCCCTGCTGGGAAGCATCACCAAAACTGGAATATGCTGCCAGGACCATCAGAGGAAAGATTACCAGTAGGCTTCCAGAGTTCCTGACCGATTTTCCTGCTGTGGAGAAGCACCCTCACACCGCTGTGAGGACCGCCAAGGTACGTCCCGGGGAGGGAGAAGATGATTTGTGGTAGTTGAGGTTGTTCTAATGAAGCTGACGCTGTCCACCCCTCAGCCCGTAGACTGGGACGAAGCCCTGGCCTCTCTGGATGTGGACAGGAGCGTGGAGGAGCCACAGTGGGCCAAACCGGGCACAGCCGCAGGAATGGCCATGCTGGAGTCCTTCATCGATGTTCGCCTTAAACTGTTCAACACCCACCGTAACGACCCAAACGCCGCTGCCCTCAGCCAGCTGTCCCCGTGGATCCGCTTCGGTTTGTCTGACCGCTGTAACCATGTCTGCGCAGCTTCTGGGAAGCTTCATTTTCATCCTCCATCACTTGATCCTTGATCTCCGTTCTTCCCACAACCCCCCCCCCCCCCCCCCCCCCCCCCCGTGTGTTTTTGTCTGAGCAGGCCACCTCTCCGCTCAGCGTGTGGCGCTGCAGGTCCGGCGCTGTGGGAAGAACGCCACTGAGTCTGTAGCCTCCTTCATTGAGGAACTTGTGGTGCGCAGGGAGCTGACGGACAACTTCTGCTTCTACAACGAGAACTACGACAGCGTGAAGGGTCAGTGGGAACGTCCTTGAACGCTATCTGATGTCTCACAGCTCTTCTCAGTTTGTTGAAACCATCTACATAAAAAATACTGAAGTTGTATTTTTGGATCCTCTAGTGTTGTTACATGTGTGTGCTTCTCAGGCGCTTACGAGTGGGCTCAGAAAACGTTGAACGACCATGCCAAAGACAAGAGGGAGTATCTGTACACACGGGAGCAGCTGGAGCAGGCCCAGACCCACGACAAGCTGTGGAACGCTGCTCAGGTATAACGCTCCGCTCTGTTTTCAGTTCTTCGATCCTCCAAACAATGAGCACCAGTGTCGTGTTAGCCCTCCCACTGTCTTCACGGGTGACCCCACGAGGAAAGTTGACCATTGAGCAGGATTGATGGTTTATCCCTTGAGGTCCACGTGGCAGGGGTGAGGTGGTGCTCACTCCTCACCCCTGCCACATGGACCCAAGGGATAAACCATCAATCCTGCTCAATGGTCAACTTCCCTCGTGGGGTCACCCCCATTAGGACCATGGGAGGGTTAATCCAGGTAACCACACTACTTTGTCAACAGTAAATTTAGCCAAAGTGGATAAAAACACGTAATTATTGTGGTAAAAGACTCACAGCTTGACGTTTTGAACTCCTATAGTTTCCGATCCACCATAAAGCCTGGACAGCTCTGAGTTTTTGGCCATCCTAGAGCACGTTCTTGTCTTTCAGCATTGTTGTTTTGGTTAGCTGTCGGCTTTTGTGCCACTTCCACATCTGACCCAGTCCGGTCTGGGCTGGGTGGCATCGGTCCAGGTTCTGCACCGGTAGGTTTTGTTCACACACACTTCTCATGAACATGGAAATCTCCGAGCTAATGGGCGGGGCAAAAGACGCACGGAGAAGTTTGAATTTAACAAAGGCGGCCATGAGCAGTGTTGCTTTTGGGGACTCTGACTCTGATATTGCATCCAGATGGGTACCTTTGACATTTGAATCGATTCGGTACTAATTCCCGGTACCTAGGAATCGATACCGGTACTTAATGGTACCAATTTTAGATACTTTTGGGTGTTTAATATTTTAATTCTCTTTAATAATTAAATATATATTTTTCTCAATATATAACCATATTTGATAAATATCACGATAAATAACATACAATTGTTTGTATTTTAACATGGTCCTTGTAGTTTTATAAGCTGATAATTAAACTGAAGCAAACATCTTTACTGTGAACTAAATTTACTGTGTATCTTCATTCCTTTTGCCGTCCTTTTTCATTTGATTTTTCCTACTGGGAAGTTAGAATTTCCGAGGAGAAAGCGAACGCACCATTAGCTGACAACAACAGTGGCAATGGAAGCTAACATATCAAGCTAACGTTATCTTAAACAGTTTATTTAGCTGCTGGAGCAGATTAAAACGATGATGCCTCACACTTAGATCGTTGTCGCTGGTTTCATCTTCACCCAATCACCCGTCGCATTTAGTAAAGTGAAGCCAAACTTTAGAGCGCGTTCATGTTCTTCTAGTCGGAAATTCAGAGTTCCGAGGAGAAAGCGAACGCACCATTAGCGGAATGGAAGCTAACATATCAAGCTAACGTTATCTTAAACATTTTATTTACCTACCGGAGCAGATTAAGATGAGGATGTCTCACTTAGATCGTTGTTGCTGGTTTCATCATCACCCAGTTACCCATCACATTTAGTGAAGTGGACCCAAGCGTTAGCGTGCGTTCTTTCTACCATGCTGCTCTGTTTACAACTGGCTCGCAGCGACCGACGACATAACGCTCTTGCGCATGCACAGCTGTCTAGGCAACTTCTCGTTATGAAGGACGGGTACCGAAACGAGGCACCGTTTCAAATGACGTGAATCGGTGCTCAGTCGGTACTATGGAATTCGGTCGGTACCTTAAAAAGTACCAAATTCGGTACCCATCGCTAATCCAGACTGCTGTCTGTCCTCCTGCAGGGCAGCTCAAGCCTCGGTAGCACCGTCTCTCTCTCTCTCCCTGTGTGTGTGCTCCTCACAGCATGTCTCAGTGAGAGAGAGACGGCTTCAGTCGGAGGAGATGTTTACTCCTCAGTATCCAGAATGATAATGAATCACGCATGGGGGAAGCCCTCGCTGGCTGAATGTACCTGCCAGTCGGAGGCTCCCGCTAGTGGTAGGTGTGAATTTGAGCTGGCCAATCAGTCGGTAGTGGGTGTGTTGGGTCAGTTCAGCCCAAAGCAGACTGCCTTGATTATAGGGCTGCAAAAAGACCTTTTGAGCACAGAAAAGAAAGCCTACCCAGATATGAACACTGTATACCGTACCTGGGCGGAGTGGAGTGGCCCTGATGTGAAAGCAGCTTTTGGTGAGATATGCTTTTCGGGGGGGTGCACTCATGGCATCAGTATACCCCGCTAGAGCTATATGTCACACAGCTTGGTTCACTGAGATCTTGGATCAAACAGTGTGCTACCTTTCTGAAGTTCTCACGGTGTGACATGAGCAGTCCGGTGCAACAGCCCAAAAACACACGGTGTGGTTTTACTTTAGATCCACCTGAGTACCCGTCCGAGCACTCGCGATAGGATTACCATCCAGACTGGATCTAACCGTGCTTACTGACCTAAATGTAACATTTAGGTCAGTAAGCACGGTTAGATCCAGTCTGGATCTAACCGTGCTTACTGACCTAAATGTAACATTTAAATTGCTCAGTTGCTTATGTAAAACACGTTAGATTCAAATCAAAACATTCAAGATGAAGAAAACTAAAAAGGCTCTAATCCCCCTTCCTCCTCTCCACTCTTCCATCAGTACCAAATGGTGCGAGATGGGAAGATGCATGGCTTCATGAGGATGTACTGGGCCAAGAAGATTCTGGAGTGGACCAGTTCCCCAGAGGAGGCGCTGTCCATCGCCCTGTACCTGAACGACCGCTATGAGCTGGACGGACAAGACCCCAACGGCTTCGTTGGTGAGGACACCGGCCTTCACCTAAACACAGGTGTGCCTGGCTGAGAGGGCACTTACCTTTGGGTTGTGTGTGTATGTTTGTTGTGTAGGCTGTATGTGGTCCATCTGTGGGATCCATGACCAGGGCTGGTCAGAGAGACCCGTCTTTGGGAAAATCCGCTACATGAACTACAAAGGCTGCCTTCGGAAGTTTGATGTTGCCCAGTTTGAGAGAAAGTTCTGCCCCAAGAAGCCCTGAAGCATGGGAAGACCTCAATGCCTGAAGACCTCATGGAACCTCCTACTGTGTTTCTGATGGGATGGTTTTGTTACTCGTGAGTTTGCTGGTAAACCTACACTCGTTAACAGGTTTGTGTTCTTTGATATGAATTTAATCTTGTGAGAAAAACTTTCCCACTTTGTTTTGATGCGGCCTTTTACGTCCGTCATTATTTTGCTACATCTTTATATTTGGGGAATAAATTCATCTTTAATTGAATAAATAATGTACGAGTCTGGCCTTTTTATTGTCACAGACCGACAGACCTCCCTCCCTCCGAAGGAAGAAAGAGCCCCAAAGCCTGAGTCATGCTTCTGCGTCTGCGTCAGTGCGGAGACACGTGACGCCATTATCCGTCCTTGCGGGCCTGCTGGAGAGCTCCGCAAGGACGGACGGAGTCGAGCTCTCTTTACTAAACGTCCGTTGAAACTGAGAATGCAAGCTTGTGATTGGTCAGGACGCCGCTGTCGTCTACACCGCCGCCGTTGCGCCCTCAAAAACATAAAGAGAGCCGAGGATAACTAGCGGCAGACACGGAGCAGCTTGAAGAATACCTCGCGAAAAAACTCTAAAATATGAATGTTTAATTCCCCCGTGACTGGAGGAGTGAAAAGATGCACCGCAAGCGTTTTATTTGTGGACGGAAATTACAGGAAACGTGGGTTTAGAGGTGGCGAGCGCATGAAGAGGTGGAGGAGGATGAGAGACAAATATGTCCGTGTTAAAAAGTCTCATATACAAAAACAATAAAAACACACGATCTTGGACCGATACGTGACAGGATACCACAGAACAGCGCTACGCCCTCTGCTGTCCTGGCGGGGAATTGCTTTGCAACACTCCAGGAGACAAGTATGAGGGCAAAATGTCTCCGTCTGTGCGTGTGTGTCCCTTTTGGAGCTGACCGAAGCATGACTCAGGCTTCAGTATTTTTTTTAATATATTTTCTGATGTTTTAAACCCACAAGAACCCCCATACCAAGTTTATTTAAACACGGCATGAGAGCCGACCAAAGTGCTGAACAAAAACAAAAATAAAAACTAAATCCATTAAAATCGAGTAATTCAAATCATAAAGAAAAGGAGAAAGAATAAGTTGGACTGAATAAAAAGCCAAAGAATAAAAGTGAGTTTTTAAACGAGACTAAAGAGAGGAAAACAGTCTGATCAGGAGGGACACGTGGTTCCAGAGCTTCGGTGCACAAACTGTAAAGGCGCGCTCCCCGCGGGACTTACAGCGGGAGCTAGGGACATGGAGGAGGTGCTGGTCGGCTGATCGGAGGGATCTCGTAGGAACATAAGGGTGAATGAGCTCAGACAAGTAGCCAGGTGCAAAGTTATTGAGGGATTTAAACACAAAAACCAGGATCTTTAACTCTATCCGGAGATGGATGGGGAGCCAGTGGAGATTTGCTAAAACCGGTGCCTGGTGCCAAGGCCGGATTAACCATATGGGCAACTGGGCAATTGCCCAGGGGCCCACAAACTCTTAAAAGGCCCAGAGCAGCAAGGGCACAAGCAAAATACTGTATCTGTAATCTCCCGCTTTATATTAAACTGGGGTGACTGTACGTCCTGTTTTCCCCGGACATTTCCGCTTTTCACTCTCTGCCCGGGCGTCCAGGGGGTTCTTGTATTGATGAAAATGTCCGGTTTTTCATCCAGGAGCAGGGATCGAATTATGGGGGAGCTGGATATCCTACACATCCAGGGGAGCCGGAAAAAAGTTTCTACCTATATTACTTCATTTATGGACTCTTGAGCAGAGAGCGGCACAGCGCTGATCGTTGGTGCGCAGCGCTCCAGGCTGCTGCGTCCAGCGCACGGTCCATTCTCAAAGTGGCGCAACCAAAAAACTATAATTAGCACACGATCGTTCACGTCCGCACATGTTCTCTACTTTCTGTCTTATCTGTGCCTGAAGCGCTCTGCTACTGCGGAGCTCATCACCTGTGCTGCGGTGATGTCACCTCACTGACGCAGCATCGAAACACGCTCTCCGCTACGGTCAGGAGATCCCTTTGATCTGCTCAGAAGTAACTGATGAGGTGAAAAAGTAAGAATCCAGGCAGCAGTTTTTCTGGAGAGTTTAGAGGAGATGCAGGAAGATGAGAGACAGACAGGACAGGAAAATAGTTCAATAAAAACAAGAAAACAAAACAAAGTGTTGAAAAGTAAAATGTAGGTAGATTTATCTCCACTACACGTTTTTACCTGTATAAAACTATAAGTTACACACATGTAATATTTATACATCTGATACAATTCAAATCACCTTCATCACTCAGTCACACACCCAGGGCCGTTTCAAGACATTCTGGCAAGTTTCCATGGAGTGTGTGACAACTTATTTTTTCATTGATCCTATCGTCTAATCTCACAGCTGAAACAAGCATCCTTAATAATCTGTGCACAGGAAGCTTACCGATGCTGAAGTAAAACAAAAGGTATAATAATTTATTATTAATAAAACCTTGTTGCAGCACTAAAGCAGAAAAATGAGATTTTGCAATAAATATGCTAAATATTTACATATGAATTGTTTTTGAGCCCTTTTATTGGCAGAATCTGATATTAATTTAGTTCTTACAAAAAAATGGGTCCCAACATGGTTTGTGTGGCGTTGCCATAGTGTGACGTCATAGGCACAGATCCCCTGTCCTCTTGTTTGGAAATGGAAATATGATCACCCTGTATTAAACAAACTGTCCACCCGGGCTTTTGCACTGCACAGAGACGCTTCGCTGCCTACGACTTTGAACGTCAGTTGAGAGTCAGCCTCATGCAATGAAGAGAGGGCCTCAAGTTAAGACCCTCTCCTCATTGGTCAGTCCACACGAGGTGGGTCAAAGGTTACTCTGAGCGGGTTACGTGATGTCAGCCATTCAAGTATTGAGTATATTTACTGCATATTACAGTAAAATATTCTGTATGTGACCATATTATGGTGATCCTTGGGTTGTGATGATGGGGCCCTTTAATATTGTTGCCCAGGGTACAACAAAGTGTTAATCTGGCCCTGCCTGGTGCCAGTCAAGAATCGAGCTGCTAAGTTCTGCACTAGCTGAAGGTGAGCGAGAGTGGAGGAGGAGATGCCATATAGTACTGAATTGGAGTAGTCGAGACGGGAGGTAATGAAGGCATGGACAGCTGAATGGAGATGACGCCTTTTTAAAATGGGCTTAACTTTAGAGAGATGCCTCGGGTGGTAAAAACAGGGCTTAACTACCTGGTTGACATGAATGTCCATTTTTAGTTTAGCATCCATCATAACCCCTAAGTTTGTGACACGGGTTTTCAACCCACTTGTGATAAAAGGAAGGGTCATTTGGGGGCTTTGAGAAGTCTTAGGCCTGAAAATGAAAGCCTCTGTCTTGGCGTCATTCAGCAAAAGAAAGTTTTCTGACAGCCAGCTCCACATCATTAAAGCATTCAACAAGGGGCTGTAAGGAGTCATTAGGCTTCACAGAGGCATATAATTGGCAATCGTCTGCATATAAATGGTAATCAATGTGGTGTTTTTTAAAAATGTCACCCAGGGTCAAAATATATAAATTAAATAAAAGGGGTCCAAGAATAGATCCCTGAGGTACACCACAGGTCAAAGCTGCAGAGGGGGAGGCAGCACTACCCATCATAACATTAAAGCTGCGGTCACAGAAGTAGGACCTACACCAATCTAAGGCAGTCCCCTGGATGCTGACCAGCCGAGTCAGCAGAATAACTGATCAACCGTGTCGAAAGCAGCAGAAAGATCCAACAAAACCAGCAATACATTAGAACCAGAGTCAAGGGTTAATAAAATGTCATTAAAAACACGAAGATGAGCTGACTCAGTGCTATGGAGGGACCGGAACCCCTCCTCATAACGTCGGACCATTAGCATGAACTCACATCCGCTCTGTTTATTTTTACCTCCATGTAGTAAAATCATTTTCCTCTACAAAGCCAGGTACAGATTTATGCTTTCACTGAACACAAATATAATGAAACAAAGTCCCAAACATAATCCCCACAGGTCATTATAGTTCATTATGATTACCCAAAGCATAATAATCATTCAATTGATTAAACACATTTATAATGAGCAAAATGATAATAATGATTATTCAACATTTAATATAAAGAAAAGGAAGTTTAAGACTTTGTTTTGTTATGACTAGATTTCATGAGAACTCCTTCGGCTGGAAGCTGCAGGTGTTCAGATGTTGTGGTTTCTGTTGAATCTTGCAGACTTCATGTCGGCAAAGGTCCTAATCTGTGGGTGAAAGTTCTGAGCGACCCAGCTCTTGACCCAGCCGGGCAAATGAAACCTTTGGCACAGAAAACCCGTATTTCCTCACGTTACACCATCTAACACAGAACTGATCCAGAGTAAAGGGTAACTGCCATCACATGTTTTCGATGCATGACCAAAGCTTTCTTGCTGAGAGTGGGTGTGTTCTGAGGGTTTTGTAAAACTAACCTCCACCAGCTTTCACGTCAGTTCTTGAACCAACACCATCCTGAGGAGACGGGACGGCCGCCCTGATCCTCTGCCAAGCTGTTCTGTCACGCCGATAAGAATAAACGTAAACTGTAACCAGCTGACGAAAAACTCCTTCCAGAGTTATCGATTTCTGAGTTAAGATGCAAAAACTCCTTCAGAGTTATAGACTTTGAGACACAAATAGTTTCATCAGTCTTGTGACCCACGGAGACAACCCAGGACTGATTTGGTCGCATCGAGGTCCTTCTACCATCCTCGTGCCCGGAGGAAATCATCTCCACCTGACATCTCGGATCCAAAAGGTGGTCTCCGGAAACTGGGTGAGGTGGACACTTTCGACAGATGACGTTTGATGCTTTTCTCTGAGTAAACAACTCAGTTAGCTGCAAAACATCATTTCCAGCCCAGAACGCGTTCCTCTCTCTGAAAGAAACCTTCTGAGAAATCCATTCACGCATCCAAACTCGTATTTCCATTTAGCTTTGCCTTTTAAAACAAGTTTAATATCAAAGCTGTTAAAAATTGTCATCCATGAATTGTCATAAATAATCGTCGTTCAAATCGTAAAGTTTAAAAGTTGTTAGTAATAAAATTCTTCATTTTTAAACTTGCCTCATTCTTTGAAATGAAACACAGAAAGGTATACTTATTTCTGGTTATTGAAAAGCAAAGATTCCCAACTTCTGATTCAAAAATAAACGTTTGCTATTAAATTTAATTACTTTAAATTAAACATT